CTCCCTCTTCCTCTCAGCTCGGTGGCAGCCTTTCTACAGTTGGTCGGATGTTCACGATTACCAGACTTTCCGGCAGATTTGGGAGCGGGGCATGTTCTGAATGATGTGACGACTGAGCGATTTGGCCTAGCATCCTATGCTTGACTGCTTCCGCTTGATTAATCCCCCCCCAACTCAAAGCTCCATCAGTCCCCAGGTTTGTTCTACTTCTGTTAACATCAATAACGATGCTGTATGCACGTGGAATGCTAATTCGCTGACGGCTGCGTCCACAACGTCACATTTATGCGAGCTGACAGCTGTACAAACTCTTCACACCACATCGCCACAGGACAAGCGTTGTCGCAGTGACAAAAACTCGCACGAAATCAGCGCGGAAGAGCAATAGCCAGGAAACGTTTCCCACCCGAGCAGCACGTTCCTATCCCACGAGGGGAATCTTGGGCACGTCGAGCTGGAATCCTTCAGGCCTAATAAGGAAGTTAGGATAACTAATGACACACCGTAGCGCAGTGAAGTTCTGAAAGCAACAATCTGACGCAACCAGGGCACTCAATCGATAACCATACCCACAACTATTGCTTCAATTCCATCCAGCCTTTCGGAATCTCACAACTGATTGCTCATCTCCAGCTGACCTCAAGCATTCAAGGCTCATAGACAATTCTGAAATGACTTGGTTCCAAATCCTCGTCAATCCCTCTTTTCCAGTCCCCAAGTAATAGATGGACTCCCAGTGCACATCCCCAGCCAACAGACGATGTTGAACTTGCAGCAGCAAGCAGATCGACTACCAACAGCTTCTCGACATATGTTATCCAAATGAAAAACGATCACCAACCGCAGGTACCGTAGTCAGATTTCTGCAATTAGCAGGCGGCCGTCATTTGTACATATGTTTGATGGCTGCCTTTACAGATCTAGCTTCATACCACGAATTCCTCGAAAAAATGACGATAAACCCTGTGCCAGGTATGAACGAAATGTGGACAGACTTGCACGTTCCCGCTGATTTCCGAACAATCAATGAGCACGTTTCGAGATTCCGGTATATTAAAGAGAGATTGGGACGCATATCGCATTTCCCTTCCATATAATGAACAAACCCGCTGAGAGACGGTAGAGGAGGCATCCAAAGGAACCCTTGTGCACAACTGGGATCGTCGTGATGGGAAGCAGGAGTTCCCGTAACTGTTAAATCGATTCCTTTTTGCAAAAAGAGGTTTCGTATTCCGGTGATTCCCGTTTCGCATGAGAAGCCCCTCAAATTCCCCCTCCACTTTCCCCCCTTCCCCTTCCCCCCACTCCACAGATTTGCCCTCATCGGCTCGGACGCGTCACTGCATAGGTATGGATCAGCCCTAGAATCTCCACGTTTTGAGACAGGTCAAGCTGAAGTAACAACAGCTCCTTTTGACTCGGATTGAATTTTAAAATATCCGGAAGGACAAGATGTTAGACGGGTAAGGTCTTCGTGACCAGTATAGGTCGATGTATGTACATGGCCGTGTGGATCTCCAAGATTGACTACATTTTCTCTTGTGGGAAATCTCTTTATGGGCATTAGGTGCCAGATATTCTGCGTGTGTCTTTGCTGCGTCGATCCCAGCACAAGTTAAACGCCCCATGTTTCCTTTTCAAAAGCTTCTTTATTCCTGCTTTCTTTGATGCCAATGCTCTCCGAACTTAAAGGAACTCCCCTCGCTCGAGCGATTCGTTGGCGCCTTTCTTGTCAGTAGCGAGCCTGGCCCAGCCTCTATGGACTGGCTCCCAGGTTCGATCGCGTGAGGAAAGAAGGCGCCCGTGCCTCTCATCAAGTACAGTTTCGACCGCTCTTCCCTAGTTGTCCCGCGCACTGAAACTCCAAAGTTTTTTCTCCGTCAAAACCTTTCAGCTTTTACAGCGTGTACTTTTTTTACGGACTGTTGGTTATTAGCATTGGATGAGCCCGACGCGGACAGATACGCACGACGCAGTTACAATCGAGCATGCTGAGGCTCGCCGGCAGGGCTTTTCTTGAAGTTTCCTCCTTCATTTTTGCTTTTCGTATTTCCTTTCTGTTCAGTCACCTGGTGACCATAGGTTCGTTATTGAGCGCCATCACCCACATGCAATCGCGAATTTTGTCTTTAAAAGTGTGCAGCTATGTTAGTATTCCTGGCGCATCCGACAAACGTAGAGGGCATGGAGATAAGTCGAATTCAACAAAACTACAGTAATGCTTAAATTCGGGATTCAAATTCGGGACAAGGATTCAAAGGGTCTCCCAGCGCACTGCTTCGTGCAACACACTTCTCGAGAAATCTTTATTAAAGGCTGTTTTCTGATAATTCGACTGAATTCGTTCATATCTAACATTCATCCTCGATAACGTGTTTCTTTCTTGCACTTCTGTTTTTTCGAGACCCCTGGAAGAAGAAAGTCCATCCAAAATGATTTCTTTGTGGACTGTCTTTCTGGTCATTTACGAAAAACAGGTAACAGTGAACTAATGGAATCCGTCATCATTGTGAAAAAAAGGAGAACTTCCCTTTGCCAACACCTAATCCATCAACGCACACAACGCTCACAACACCTACCCAAGCATATGTTCACATCTCATCAATCACTGTTCACCACACTCAGGTACTACGATTATTCACGTTCACTTCAGCTCGTCGATCAATAGAAATAGACCTATAAATCCCTTCACTAACGAAATTGACATCTACACCTACCATTTACCCCCCATCGTGCCGAGAATGAATAAACTGATATTCCTGCTAGGGTACGGTACTGAGCGCAAGTAACAGATTTCCTATAAAGTAGCAGAAACTTAGCAGTTTACCTAAGGTCTATCGCAAAAAGTATATTGTTCAAAAGCACGCCTTCCCCACAATTCCCCAATAAGCACGCTCACTTTCTCTCAGAAAAAAATTTCCTGGAAACATAGGTGAAACTTATTTACATGTTTTCTTGGCTGGTCTGCCTCTCGGCATACCTTTTTCTCAGTGATTTTTTTTCTGCGATCGAGTTCTGCTTAAACTGAATACCTCTCTGCGACCCCGTTAGAATCCGCGGTGGAAAACCACAATACCCGTGGCCCTGTAGATGGATCTTTCAGGGGCCCCACTCAGATTTCCGTCCATGTTTTGAATAGGTCGGGAACCCCCCCCCCCGTTCTTGATCCTAACCCCTCACAATGGGACCCATGGTGAAAAACCAACCACTCCGACTTGCATATTTGCATCTGGTTTCACAACAACTTCCGCTTACCGTTGTTATTTTGAATTTTTACAAGTCTTATTGCACTATGAAAAGAGGAGGTGGTGTAGTGACAGGTGGCGCGCATACCACTCGCGCGGTCCTGGGTTCGAATCCCGGGTCAACTTCCGCCCAGGCCAACCAAGCCTTCTACCCTTCGGTAATTGGGCACCACACTCGTCTGGAAAGACAAGAACACTTGTACACCGGCTGGTCCCGCAAGTCACTCTATAGGCCACATCGCATTCTGTAAGCCACTACGATTCTGAATGGAATCGTAGTGGCTTACAGAATGAGTAGAATGCGTCCCATTTCTCAAAGAGATTGATCAACGGCGAGGACTTTATCCTTTTTACCCTTATTGCACTTTGGAAGCGTAGTATACGTGACACGAGGATGCGTCCGGTAGGAGTAGGGGTTTGTGTTCAGCTACCGGGAGACACCGTGTAGCTGGAGTTTTCGAGTGTCTGCTAGTAAGAGCAGAAGACTCTCCAAAGCCATCTATGACTTGAAAGTACTCCGATGGTTTTAGGGAGAGATCTGAATGGGACACCCGAAAACTCCAGCTACACGGTCTTGAGTACTGCGGATTTCCG